AAAAGTACAATTTATACATAAATAAATTTTAACATATAATAAAAATATATATCAATAGGCTGGCTAAAGGGCTATCGACCGAGGTCTTTCCGCCCTTAATAAACGATTTTATTGAGTAATTTAAAAAAAAGAGGACATTCAATTAATTTAACAATAAACTGTCAAGAAAATAGAAAATTTATTATAAAATGAAATTGAAGGTATGAAAATGCAGCATAATTACAATGACAATATCAGGGATTTTCATGCAGATCCATTTATGTGACTTACAATTAATCAGATAAAACATAAGTTTGAAACGATTGGAACTGTCACCAGCCAAGAAATAGTACTGGAAAGTTATTGAGAAACATCGAAAATATCTGTAGGACAACAAGTCGTATTTTAAGACATTGTAAGTAGAAAAATTCGATCCGGAACGAAGAAAACAAATTTACGAATGTTACTTGTAAACAGGATGCACAGTTTTCGGAGAAAACCGACGACACTGAAAGCCACAATTGAGCAAGAATGCACCACAATATCAAATTAAATGTTTCTAGATGTTTGTAACTCAATAGACAACCATTATCAGCAGATTGTTTGACCGAACGGTAATAATTTTTTAACATCTGCGGTATGAGGAAAAGTTATACATTCTATGTAGAATCTTTTGCAATTTATTTATGAATAAAAACTGAAGTTATAATCACACATTTTTGTTGGGACACCCTGTATTATAATATGAAACGAAACCATTTCATTTATTAACTATGGATACGTTCATTTATCTTAATAAATATTTCAGTCGTGATTGTAATTGATGAAAGCTTGAATTTCGAAAACATATTTAAGCCGATTAATTCGAAACGACATTTCAATAATCACGACAGGTTTGAGCTAAAAAAAAACACGCATTAACCGATTGGAAATTAATTTAAATCGGATCGTGTCCATTAGATTTATTACCTAATCGACAGTTTTCCTATTCACGTAACGACGTATAAAAGGTGCATCCGCCTGGAAGTGTAGCAAAACGAAAACAACACTCGTTCAATTTTTTAAGCTGTATCCAAATGGTTTCAAAAAAAGAGTTCAAATATCATTTACTATAGAAGTTAAAATTTGAAGTAAAATCAGTCGATGATGTACATTTATAACGTGACTGCGATGTTGATATTCCAAAATCTGCAGATGCCCGAGTACCAACAAAAAGTGCGTATTTGCGCCGCAGAAATAATGAACAAATACAGCGAAGTTCAATCCAGTATTGTCTACGAGAACATGGGTAAATTGGTTGATAGTATTCTGGATAACGAGATGATAAACACGACCAGAATTATAAACATAAAAAGTCATTTGAGTTACAGCACCAATGAATTGGAACCTTATTATATGCTAACTGTGATCATCAAGAACATCGATGAACTCGAAAAGTATTTCAACGCGGTTTATCGAGTTCTCGGTTGGAATTCAAGGGCGAAGCACTTTATTATCTACATGGGACGTGAAGACATCAATAGAATTTTCGAGTTGTCTTGGGAGAAGTTCATTATAAAATTGCTTGTATTGGATAGGGATCAGAACTTGTACACTTATTACCCGCTTCGGAATAACAACTGTGGTAGAGTTGTTTACAAGCATTTCTTGTTTAATTGCAAGAAATTAAATTTTGAAGCTATTGATAAAGTGTTTGTTAAGAATGAGGTGAGAAATTTCAATGGATGTGAGATCAAAGTGTTGGCTACGCCTATAGTACCTTATGTTATCGATGAATCATTTGGAATTGAAACTTTGATGCTGAAGGAGTTGAGTAAACGTCTGAATTTTAAATTGAAATACGTCAAGAGTAACTTCAGCTATTGGGGTTACAAAATTGGGAATAATTATACGAAGATGTTTAATGAGTTTTTTGAGAGGAAAGCTGATGTTATGTTGGGGATGTTGGTTGCGAACGGTTCTTTCCTTTACGATTTCGATTCGTCCATTGCGTACACCAAGAGCGATTTGGCTTTTTACGTTCCCGCCGCGCAGAAAATCCATCCTTGGATGAACATCATGAAGATTTACAGCAAGAGTATTTGGGGTACCATCATCATTTGCGGGCTTGCGTATCCTCTGGTCTGGTACTTCGTTGGGAGGAATAGTTTAAAACCGGAGGGTTTCAATGAGTACATGTACTGCGTCAGCTATGTCATTGGTATCGGTTTGTGTAAATCCATGAGACAACCTAGAAGACCCAAGTTTAGGTACCTTTTCCTAGTGTGGTCTTTTTACACCTTAATCATAACCAGCACGTTTGAGAGTTCTTTGATGTCCTTCCTAACAAAACCCGCGTATGAAGCTGAAATCAATACAGTTGAACAACTTGCTACATCTAAATTGGACGTGGGTGGATACGCTTATTCCAAAGCGCTTTTCGGCATCGAAAACCAGAACGATTTCTACGTGAAAATCTATAATAGATGGATGGATTGCGAGTTAGATGAATCTTGCACAAATAGGACTTCTGAGCAGCAAGATTTTGCTGCTCTTAGCGATGTGAGGCAGATCAATTACTTGACGCCAAAGCTGTACGTTGCTCCAGATGGAAGGATTCGAATCCATCAGATGCCAGTCACCTCGAGCTTTTACATTTGGATGCTGATGGTGAAAGGATTTCCTCTGCGTGATCAATTCGACAATATGATACAACGATTTTCCGAGTACGGGATTCTCAGCAAATGGATTAATGATGTTTCTTACACGCATAATCCCGTCTCCACCATACAGCATACGCCTCTTAGCATCAAACATATCATATTTGCCATGGCCATGCTCTACGCAGGAAATTTTTGTGCCCTCATCGCCTTCATCGGTGAACACATCCATCACAGATACAATAAACGCAAACTAAAACCACTTTAAATTACACTCTTATTAACTTATCCACTAACAATATTAAAGATCACCTAAAAATTTAAGTAGAATATATGTACAATTAGCATAGGCCTTTATAATCTTCTAATTTTTAATACAAATAATTAAAAAAATATATATTTGCTTAAGTAAGTAAGATTTATTATGTTCTAAAAATCGAAAAATAGTGAATCCGCACTGATGGAAGTCGCATTATTTGAGATGTTTCTGTATTTGTAAAAAGAAAATTTAAAAGGTTAAAAAAAATATTGATTTATATATATGTTCTCTTAACAATTGATAAAATGGTTTAAAAATAAATTAATAATCTACTCCACTTATCATGCTTATAAACCTACCCAAATGTTGTAGAAACTCATGTTGAGATTTATATATACGAAATAAGAAAGAACTTTTGTGTCCCGGGATTAAGTAATCTCTGGACACCTTCGATTATATCGTAGTTATGTCGTTGTGAAGTCTTATACACATCAGAGTTTTTATTGAGAATTCAACTATACAATTTTTGATCTCATAGATTATTGACTAAGAGTAACATTCTCCTCTTAAGTTAATAATTAGGAAGTGTTCTTCCTTCGACCTAAGACTATTCTCTTACTTAAACCTTCCAACTAAAACTATGTTCTTCTTTCAACCTTCTAACTAAAACTAAATTAAATAATACACAAATATGTCCACTTGAAAAAGGGTCTGCGTGGGAGTATTCTTTCGAGGATAGCTTTGACATTCTGGAAAATACAACCGATTCTCTAAGTTTTATATAAAGGCGATATAATTCTGTACGATTTTATATACAATTATACAAAAGATGATAATAAAATGGTCGGCCACGGTACAACAAAAACTGCAGAACACAGAAAAATATAAAAAATTTAAAAAACATAAGATATGTTAGTAAAAACAAAAATTAGCCTGCTAAGTAATATAGTCTATACCTCTACTAGTTGTCTTTCCCAATTTTGTAGAAGTAAAGAAAATTGTATTTGTATTTTATCATAATACAAGTTTTAATTATTGTATAGATTACGAAGAAAGTGTTTTTTTGTATAATTACAACGAATCATATTACTTCATTAGTTATTAAATTTGATTTTGTGTATAATTAACAAATTTCTTCTCAATAAATATTATGTAATGAAAAATATTTCTCAGTTATTATTAGAAATTATGACTTTCTCATTTTTAAATGGTTTTTGAAAAAAAAAATTGTTGTTAAAACTCAAATACAGTGAAACTTCTATAATTCTATAGTATATGGTTTGTACAGATCGATGAAATGAAGAAATAAAAAAAAAATTATCAATTTAAAAAAAAAACTATATTATTTTATATCATAACTAAATAAATCCAAATACAAGTAATAAAATATTTACTTTTCCATAAATAAAAGAAAGAAATAAGTCTGAAGATTTCAAAAACAATAACTAAAGGAAAATTAAATGGTATGTCTTCTGAATATGGTAAAGCTCTCGTCCTCTAGTTGAGAGGGAAATAGGACTGCAGGATTCCCTGGTAGATTTCCTCGTCAGTCTCCGAGAATAAGCAGAAGATGACTCTCTCGATCTGTGCGAAATTCTCCTCCAGGTGCTTACGCACGGCCATCACGGCGACGTGCGCTGCAGGCTTCAGAGGATAACCGTAGATACCAGTGGAGATGCACGGGAAAGCGATTGAATGCAATTGCTTCTCGACCAACAGATCTAGACTGTTCTTGTAGCAATTACGCAAAAAATCGGGCTTTTCGCCGCGTGGTCCAACAGTGGAAATCACGTCTGAAAAAATATAATGTATAATATTATGGTTAATTAGTGATCGTGATCGTACATTTGGCTGGTAGTTGATAACCTCCTGACAGTTTGGCTTCGCCTACTTCGCATCCCCCGAGGGTTCGGTTCTCCGCGAGAAGGAACGGACCCGCCGCCCTGTGTATAGCCCCATCGACGCCGCCGCCTCCTTCGAGACTCTTGTTGGCCGCATTTACTATAGCATCCACCTGCAACATTGGTTGCCTACTAAGTATCCTCGAGTCGAGATGAATTCCGATATATTTTCGTAGTTAGTTGATGTTAATTAAGGATAATACCTCCAAGGTGGTGATGTCGCCGCGGTAGATGGATACCTTCTTGGTCAGCTCGATGTTAACGTTCTGGTCGAGTTTGTGGTTAGGTAGCAGCGGTATCTTCGGCGCCAGTTTCTTGTAGTCGAGGACGAAGTCGTGCCAGGTCTTGATGTCGCTCAAGGTGAAGAACTTCGATCCGCATCTGTACACCTTCCTCTTGTCGTGCATCGCCAGCGACAGGAACTTCTTCTTTTCGTCCTGCCATTGCGGCTTGCTGACTGCTTGTTCGGCCGTGGACATCTCTGCTCTGTGGATCAGCTGTTTCGTGTTTACCCAACTGCCGAACGATCGGTACAAACGCGGCCGACACAGGATCATGCTGTTCGCGCGCAACACGTTCCTTCTCGATAGCGAATTTTGACAGGATCTTTGACCGGAAACTTTTGACAGGTCACTTCCGGCGCCTGTTAGCCCGAATTCAAATCAATTCAAACACTTTGCGACCGCTTTCAGCGCGTGTTCACAATTAATTAAATTCACCGCTAATTGGAAAATCCATACGATTCTTTACACAGTCGTATTTCAATTTACGAAAGTAACCTATGTGCAAATATTTACGACAGAAATTATTTTCTCAGAAAAAAAATTATATGCGCTAACGACAACACCGGTGTCGAGACGACCAAGAATATACTAAAAAAATACTTCAAAGCGAAATTTCATACTCTCCATCTTTCATACTCATAGTTTATAGTGACAGATCTAAACAGAACTCTTCAGGACAGAATATGACATATCAGGACAAAACAGAACGAAAAACCTTCACAACAAATTGTTGTCTTAGGACAGGGAAGCTTAAAAATTTAATTTAATTTTTATATCATAACATCTTCAAATAAATAAAGCGCCTCTATATTATTTAATCTATTAAAACAATAAAAGGTAAGGACGGCGCGAAAAAAAAAAATCGGGGAGGCGTAGTAGCATAAAGGTTAGAAACCGCTGCCTTAATGTATAAACATATATATATAAGTACAAAGATACATCCACTATGACCAAAGAACAAGTATTGCGCAACTAACATTAGAAGAAACTCAAATGAATGTGATTAAAAAGGATATTACTCTTAATATAACCGAAGAAACATTACAAAGTGCATGTGTTGAACTAGTCACTAATTGAGGTTTATTTCTTTTGTATTTTCAATTTTATAATTGAAAACTATAGTACGGGAATTTGGTAAATAAAATTAAAACAAAATTTGATATTTGACTCTATTTTAAATTTTAACTTTAATGGATTTAAATTGATTTTCACATCTGGATTTTATATTTTAATTTCAACCGTAACCCAACCGATAAATATTTATTTGGAACGTAACCGTTCAAGACGACAGCCAACCGGGAAAGATGATCTATTTAATGTTAACCGCGATCTTAGATTTACTCAATGTTCTTTGATGAACAGATTGTGAATACAATTATACGACATAAAAAAAATGCATTCTTAGTATTATAAATGTTAACATGTTTTTATAATGTTCGTACATATTATCTTGCAATTTATTTAGTAACTGTTCATAGTTTAAGCCCTCGCTCATATTTTCCTTCGCAACTTTCCCATTTTTTTTTTCAATGAAACCGTTAAATATATAAGTTCTTCGATCTTCTTCAACCACTCCCCATATTCCCCATATGAAAGGTGAGCGGTATTTCTTCTTTGATTCGTATGTATCTGTTCTTTCAAACAGTTTATTATGACATGCATTTTGGTCATGTCTTTCGTCAGCTCCGTCCACACTTGAGACTAGATTTTTACCTTTTATTCGGGCTATGCTATCACGTTATACGTTTCATGCAATATTCTATAGAAGCTCTCGATTCTCGTCTTGTTTGAATTGAAATACTTCCCGAAGGATACCAAATTTGTGCGTAGGATTGTTACAGACATCTTGTCACTGTTTATGCTGATCAAGAAGAAGGTGCAGTTTCTTGTCCACGGAATTAGTTATTCATTTTAATAACGATATAATAAAATAAGAAACTGGACTGAGGAAGCAGAGGAAGTCATATTTAGAGACTAAAACTAAGAAATTTGTTAGATCTGTTCATTGTCACTTTATATTTTTTGTTTATAATTTTTCTAATTGTATTTCTATTTGAAAAAATAGTAATGTTTATTTTTTTTTCCTTCAATTTCTTTTAATATTTCCAATAAAATAAATAAATTAAGTATTCATTATAGTCCGGTTTGATAATTTAAAAACAAATTAAATTAAGGATAATATGTTGTGTCCAACCACTAAATTATAGATCATTAACAGAATGAATATGCAGAGTAGGCAGATCCCACGGAAGACAGTGACCGTTTGCGGCTTCTTCGTATTTTCAGCTGATAACAAAACTGCAGAATCGACAGATCACACGGAGAACAGTGACCTGAAGTGGAGCATCTTTTTAAAAAACGTGCCTTACTCCCACCCCGTCTATATTAATACAAATTAACTTCGTTAGTAAAATATATAATTGTAATTAGTCTTGATAAGACAGGATAAATCGTATATGCATTCAAGAGGGTGCACACATACATATTGAGTAGCAACATATTTTATTATATGAACGAATTAAAGTGTATACTTGATGAAGAATATCGATAATTACGATATCTTGATCAATATTTTTTGTAAATTAGACAAATTTGTAAATAAAGAACTAATTTTAAATTAATAATATATTTTTGTATATTTTATATAATAAACATTACAATGAATTACTTTTTTCTCATTTTCTGCAGCAATGATCGCCAAACATTTTTTTATTGTCGATCGACAACAACATTTCAAAACCTCTTCAAATATTATAATAAATTTTCTTCTTTTTACTATCTAGCATTTATTTTACATTTATTTATATATTTATAAAACAACAATTTTATAATAACAATAGTGAAACGGTATGATAATTCTTAATTGTCTTAATTCTTAATTGATTTTTGTTTACAGGTAAACGGAAAATGTATTTAGAAAGAATTACATGTAATACGTACAAGTATTTACTTAAATAATAGATTTTAAAGAAAACGCACTGATCCTTGCCATTTTCGGTTCGTTTACATTTGGATAAAACAACAATTTTTAAGATTTGGTGGACCGACCAAGACACATCGTGATTTAAAACCATAGTTACAAGGATATTTTTTGATAATCACTTCAATTTAATTCATTTCTTATAGAATATGTAAATGTTTTAACACTTTTATTTGCATTCAAAATCATCATATATTAAAAACAATACACAACGTCGAAAATTTAAAAAAAAATGCTTCCATGTCAAATGCAAGTTTTATCATTTAATTGAAATAAAACGATATTTATTAAATATTATATAAAAATTCAAAATAAAATATATTTAAAGAGATATAACCACTACGGCATTTCAACTTTCTGCTGATCTAACACTTTTTTTAATATTAATCATGAATATATCTATAGATTTTAGCACCACGTTGAATTTATTCTTATAGTCTATAAACAGTCTATCCTGCAATATCAGCATTCGATTGAAACCTCTTGAAATCGTCTTCCAGGCGGAGCCTATCCTTGGCGAACGACAGAAGATCTATCAATCCCTCCAGAACTGAATTAATATCACCAATTTCTTTCACCCAAATAATAATTTCATCACCGATGTTTCTTATATCATTGATAAAATCTGTGCGTAGCGTGTTTCTCAAATTGTCTAATCTTTCGTATATGTTGAAAGTATTTTGGTAGAAACAGTTCCACGAACGTAACTCCAGATCGAGGGTTTTCTTCATCCACCTTTCAACTTTCTCTGGTGTTCCATACTAGCTGATACAAGTGGTTCGTCTTCGGCTGCGTCTCAAGATGGAGTATTGTTTTCTTGTACGTATTCCTCCGGATAAACTGGTCCTCTCTTCCATGGATTCCTAGTGCTATTCTCCTCCGACTCAGATTGAAAACTTCTGCGACGCTAGCTAACTCAAAACTTAGAGACTCCATGATGATCTTGACAGAGTTTAACTAACTAACAGAATGGCTGAGGAAGGACTTGAGAGTTCGGTCAAAAGGTTACTTCTTCTTGTTAGTCGAAGTTATAAATTGGTACCTCCTCGACCAAGGGAACTAGGTTCATGCCTCCTATTTTCTTTTTCTCAGAAATTGTAAACACAACCAACCTTTTTGGCTTGATTGATTTACTTCATTTTCAGCAATTATAGCAGAAAACGTTTTTCGCTTTTATCTACTTAAATTACTTTTCTACTTACATTTTTTCGGAAAAAGCAAATTTATGTTTTTCAGTATTCTTGCAAATGTAACAATAAAACTTAATCAGGTTTCTATTAGAGATAGATTACCAATGTGCGGGTAATTGGTTTATTTGAAAAAAAAACTAAATTAAAGAAATATTTACGTTATAAAAATATTTGTCGTGTCCCAGCGATGAAATTCTGGACACAGTGGAATATTTTCTTCTGGTGTTGTCGTTTTGGAGTCTCAGTTTTTGGAAGTAAATTCAATTTGTTTTAACAAGTTTATTTTAATAATTAGTACTCTTCCAAGACAATGTATTACTTTTACAGATCGACT